AGCAAGAAAAATAAGTCATTAAATCTGGATTCTTTTATCACTCAATTAGCCGTTAATCTTGGGGTTTTAGATTTAACTAATCATAATCTGCATTTGACTTGTACTATAAAATCTCTTGATTTAGTTTGCTTGGAAAAAATGGGTCTAGTGCAATAGGTCAACGGTGTCTTCCAGTTCGTGCCTCCGGGGCCGATCCAGCTTCCACCAAAGCACAAATCTTCCAAATCTGCCCCCTCTGAGACTGGCGGTCCTTCTACTGACGTTCCTGAGCCTTACTCGTCTGCACCTCCGCTGTCATCCTCTGCAGACAGACAGTCTTCCGACCTCCGCTTCCAACTACATCAGATGGATTCTCGATTGGAGCGGATCGAGCATCAGGTGTCTGGTATGGTGCAGAATTTGGCTCAGTATTTCACCCACGTTGGCGTTGGCTTCCCTCCATTCTTTCCTCCAGAGCCTTAGTTCTTTTCTACCCTCCTCCATGTTAAAGGAAGTATCATTGCCCCATTACTTCTATTCTTATTTTTTATTGCTTACATTGGGAACAATATAAGGTTTAGGTGTGGGGGAGGGTTAGCTATGTTTTTAAGTGTTTGTTTTGCATTTTTTTTTCTTAGTAATTCTTTGTTTTAAACAATGATGAATGCAATTGAGATTTGAGTAGGATTAGTGAGTTCATGCCATGGGAATTTTCTACTTTTCTTGATGATGGAATTAATTGACGAATATGCTGGATTTAACATTAATTCCTGACTACTTGTGACCACTTGTGAGATTTTTTTTTCCAACAAACGATAACAATTTATAGATATTAACACTTGATCTTACAAGGATTAGTTACAAAAAGGGGATACTACCCTCATATCCTTCTTTACTAAGTCAATTAGCCATATTGGGAAGTCATGTTCTCATTCAATGTCATGTACTAGCTTTACTGCAAACTGTGCTACTGCATGACTGATTTCATTTTCTGTTCAAGGAATAAACACGAAAGAGCATCTATCAAAGCCTGATCTAAGTTCCTGTACATCATCTAAGTTCATGTACCACTTGTGAGATTATTGTGCCTGATTGTAAGCATTATACTCTATTTTTGCTCTATTTTTTTCATTTTTTCGTTTGTCGAGTGGTTGCATATATGGTTTGGTCATTCTAGAACTTGCTTTGTTATGCATGTCGAGATTACAATTTTGTTTAGTTGGATGCAATAAAATGATGAGGGCACCTAAGTTTGAACCATTTTTGACTTGCTCAAAAATTCACCTTTATTTTATCTACTTTTAGTGAGTCAAGCTGAGCCTTTAACCCATTTTCTTCATTTAATACCCTAATTGTTAGCCGAAAAACCTTCTTTTTAGACTTTCTCTTTATACCTTGAGTTAAAGAAATACTTTGATTTCATTGCATGGGAGTTTGAGATGTTATTTGAAAGGCAGTGAATCAGAAATGCAAGTATGACAGGTGAAGTTGATTTCTAAGGTGTCGGTATTCAAAAAAAAAAAAAGAAGAGAAGAAGAAACAAAAAAAAAAAAGGAGAAAGAAAAAATAGAAAAAAAAAAGAAATAAAAAGAGAAAAAAAGTTGAAATCAAAGTATTTGTGACAAGTGCCGACTATTACTTTCACTTGTTGGGTTGTTGATATGCCTTGGAGGTATAAATTTGTAAGAACCTATGTAATGAATTTTTAGACATTTTTTTTGACATTTGTACACCCTTAAAATCCTTGTTATCCTACTCCTTCACCTGAGCCTCGTTACAACCTTATGAAGTCACTTTGATTTGTGCATTTAATTCATAGTTAAGTGGTGAAAATATGATATATGAGCAAACTTATGATAATGTCATTTCATTGTGTCGATTTGAGAGCCATCCTATATCTTATACACTTTGGAGTGAATGAGTGCATATTAAATGTGAGAATTGTCATTTTGGCATATTCTGAATTTGATGAAATTGTTAGAGAATTTAGAATAGCTTTATTGGTACGACCTGCTACGAATTACTTGATATTTTAATTGCATTTCTGAGTTGCTTATGCTTAACAACAAGTATAGTTTAGGTGTGGGGGAGATTGATAGAATGCATTTTAGTGAGTTATTTCGCTAGTATTCCATAGTTGTTTGGACTAAATATTGTACTATTTGATAAGTTCTATTTAGATTTTGTGTTGGGTGTTAATTGCATAAATTGGTGAAGAAAAGGTGCTGAAAATCAATTCCAGAAAATTTTCTAACAGTTAGGCGCGGGCACGCCTAGTTCTAGCCTTCAAGTCCGGATTCTCGGGATTTGTTACACGTGAGAGGCTTTAAAAAATGCATCAAGTAGTTGACTACAAATTAAGAAGTTAATGGGCCACTCCTAAGAAGAAGGAAAACTGAGGAAGTTGACTTGTAATAGGGCTTTCTTTTAAGAATTTGATTGGTATTAGAATACCAATCAATTAGGCATCAAAGTAGGAAAGAAATCGTAAGACATTTGGTTTCCATCTTTTTTGAGTGGGCAGAAACGAAAAGGGGAGCATTGTACTCTTGGGTCTTTGATTTTTCTCGTCTTTTGGGAAAATTGGGAAGAAAAGAACGAAAAAGCAATAGTTTCCTTCTTGTCTTTTACTTTTTCTCTGTTGACCGAATTTGTGAGACAATTGAAAGTTTTTCCGAATTCTTTTTGCATGGCTAGTTCTCCACTAATGGAGAACTAAATTCTTATTTCTATTCAAGGGGATAACTGAAGATTTGGTTCAACAATAACTGTGAGATTTAAATTATTTTAATTGTTTCTTTCATTCATTGGTATTTGTATGTTTTCTGTTTTTAATGATTATGACTATTATGTATGATTGAATAGTTGCGCAATATTTAATTATTCACGTAGTTTATTTGCTAATTGGGGGTAGTTGAATCCGTAATTGTTTGATTACTCGCATCCCGGTAACAACTGAAATAATTGAATTTGTGTTGGAAAAACGTACAATCTAATTTAAATAAACCCTCATAGTGTGTTTATTGATTATAGTAGAATTTCTCTAGTTTCTAATGCAATTAGGAATTAAATCCTATGATCGTACCTAGGGTTATTTCTAAATTAGGAAAATAGTCAACAGTCGTACCTTGACTATCGAAACAGTAAGGAGAGACTAACTGTTAGATCGTATCGGCAGTTAAAAACCTACTTATTAATGAATGTTGGAATTATATGTGAATCGATAAAGTGTATCATTGGCTAGAGTTTTCCCAATTATTTCTCTCAATTAATTATTTTTCGCAGTTAATTTATTTAGTTAACAATTTATTAGTATTTAATTCTCAAGCCCCTTGTTTGTCTTGATTTAAAAAGAAACGAGTTTTTCCCCAGTCCCTAAAGAGACGACCCTGCTTGCCACTGTCTACTAGTTAATAAATTTTGTCAGTTGATTAATTCTGGTATATCAGATTAAACAAATTCTTCGGAACCAGGGTGAATCAAGTAATCCATTGAACATCCAGAGTCCCTACTCCAGTACTTGAAATTGATTATTGACTGCTTTTGGTGGTAGTTAGGTTCTTATTATTATCGCACAGGTTCGACACCTGTCAATAACAACTCATTTTGGTGGAGAAATAAAACATCTTTGATAGCTTGTCCATCATTTGGCTAAGCTTTCATCCTTTTGGTGGAGAAATAGAAGATCTTTTGTGCAATATGAGTTTATGCAATGAATCTTGGTACTTATTTATCTTATCATTATGTTGACCTAAATTTCTACATCTAAGGAGTAGATGAAACTAATGGTTCATTTAATATAAGTTGAATATGATTTACATTTATTATCTCTTGTATTAACTTATCCATTTATTCATACTAATTACTTCTTGTTGTTTCATTACCAATGACAAGCTATAATAATAATGGATAGGGATAACTGGAACTTAAGGAGTAGACTCACGAGAGTAGAAATACACTTGAGTAGATTTTCTTGAACATTTCATGTAGTAAATAAACTAGATTTAATCTTTACCACGAGAGTAAAAAAAACTAGGCTAGTTAATACCATTACATCATAAGAATGAATTTTGGTTAATGTTGGAAACGAGTCATCATTCATTTGTCTTTTTGGACAATTAGTGGATTTTACACCCTAGAACCTTAATATTTAGTGTATTTTCTCCATTTTCTTTACAAGTTAGTAGTTTGAAGTATTATTAGTCTAGATATAATAGAGTAAACCAAGGATCTAGTACTTGATAAACGCTCCTCGTGGGATCAACTCTTATACACCTTGTACTGTAAATTTGACCACTATACTTGAAGCAAATTGGTGCATTTTGGATTTAAGCCTAAGACATATATTTGAAACTCGCCAAATTTAGGGCCTAGCAAACTTTATTAATTTAGACATTTTCTTTAATTTTGGTAAAATTTGTATAATTTATTTGTATAAGTAGTTGTTAATTGATTGGTGTGGAATTGATAAACCTCATTATATATCCTTACTTGTAGCGTATGCATCGAGCTTTACGAATTATTGCTCCTTTTGATTCAACAATTGAAAGAACAATAAGGAGACAAAGAAGAAGTGCATTACAAGTGGAGGAGAAAACACACCAAATACAAGGAATCTCTATTGAATTGCCTTTAGTTCAGCAAATGGCTAAACAAGAAACTAATAGGCAACCTCTTAGAGATTTTGTTGTACCCTCAAAGTTTTCAAACGACCATTGTAAGGCTAACGGTAAATGCTAATAGTTTTGAGATTAAATCATCTCTTATACAAATGGTTCAACAATCTCAATTTGGAGGTAATTCAATAGAATATCCAAATGCTCATTTGGCTACATTCTTGAAAATATGTAATACTATTAAAATGAATGAAGTAAAGATGTCGTTAGACTTGAGTTATTTCCTTTCTCATTGTGTGATAATCTAAGGTATGATTGCAATCTCATACTCCTAACACTTTTACTATTTGGGATGATTTATCTCGTACTTTCTTGAATAAATATTTTTCACTTGGAAAGACAGCTAAACTTTGGATATAACGGTTTTAACCAACATGATGGTGATTCATTATGTGAAACTTGGAAAAGGTTTAGGGAATTGTTAAGGAAATGTCCACATCATGGATTTCCCAATTAGTTTATAGTCCAAACATTTTATAATGGCTTATCTTTTTAAACTAAAACTACAATTGATGCAATCACAAGTGGAGCATTAATGGATAAATCACCCGAGAAAATCCAAAATTTAATTGAAGAGATGGCGGCCAATAATTATCAATAGGCAAATGAGAGAGATAATCGAAGAAGGCAAGCAGGTATGTTGGAAATGGACACTCTTTAACATATTGAGTGCTCAAATGAACAATGTAGTTAAGTTACTTAGTAGGCAAGCCGGAGTTGTTACTAATTCTTCACCCAATGTAAGTGTTATTTGTTGTGACACATGTGGAGGGGATTATGAAACTACATTGTATGAAACTACCGAATGTGTTGATCTTTACCCTTCACTTCTACCTCTTTTTTTGCTATTTTCTTATCTTTATCCCTCTAATTGTTTCACACTTCTAAGAGTGATTGCATTTACATGTTTTTTAAAATTAACCTCGATCCTACTAGGAAGCTCTCTCGATTAGACCTTATGCATTTTATAGATAGTTGTAACTTGGTCCATCGTCCCCTCAATTCTTTAAAATCTTTGGTCAGCACTAACTAACATATCAATCTTATTATTGGACACATTAGCTAATCTATCAATTACCAATTTCCAAGTCGGTTTGATCTCCACGGTAGGTTGCCTTGGTGGAAGCCAGATGGATTTGTAGGCCTTTGTTGGTTATTTTGATCCGCCCATCGAAAACTTGGATGATTTTTCTGTCCCGGATTGAATGTAGAGTAGGGATTGTTTTGTGATGATCAGTTGTAATTATTAACAAATTGCACATGTTCAGAATCAACACATTCATTTTTAGGTTTGCCAAAAGGATTGCCGTTGGCAAAGCAGAATGCCGAAGGGATTGCTATTGACTAAGCAATTTTATCACTTAATATCATTTTCAAGCAATGGGCCAAAAATGAATGTGGTATGCATATAAAATTAAACACAATCTACAGTTAAGTTTTATATTTATAAATTTTTAAATACTTCACACGTGATTTTTCACAAGCGTACAAGTCAAGATTTAGTATAAAGGATCAAACATGGAAACAATGGACAAGTACCGGTACTAGTAAAACTCTTTTATTATTTAGACAATCAACAAATTGAAAGAAAAAAAATTACACTAAAATTTGCATAAAAATAGCAAATGAAAAAAGCTCTTTAGATTATGGTATAACTAACAAAACTACCTTACCTAATAATTATGATGTAATTTTCTCATGCATGTGAAAGCTACTCTCGTAATGAATCAATACTTTTATGGTTATGAAATTAGTTATAAGATTATTTCTTTTATGAAATTATATTGAACAAGTCACAAAAATCACAAAAATCACAAAGGTATACATTTACTCTTGAACTAGTGTTAAATTCATAAGTACTTCCTTATTCTTTCCCTTGAACTTCATAAACGCTTCCTTGAACTAGTGTTAAATTAATATTCTCACCCTAATCACATAAGTTTATACTTTTCATATTTGCTCCTCAATTTTTATTTAAGTTTAGCTATATACAAAAGATGATGAATCTAACTAATCTAAACAATCCTATACTACCCCAAGCTAAAGTACTAAGAAACTAATTAAAAACTACATTTTGTGTGCTATTTCTTCCACTCTCCAAACTCTTCTAAAATGAATGATACAAGCTCTATTTATAGAGAAATTTTTAAGTTTTTAACTTGTATCTTCCATATGAACATAGTTCCAAATAACCAACAATTTTGGTTTCACTAAATCACATTATTGTTGAAGAAATAAAATCAGGAATTATTGTTAGAATCTCATCTTTACATATGCATTTAAGATGCCAAACGTCCCTCAAAAGATGTGAAAAATGAAGGTGAAAACAAATTGCGCAAATTGAAGCCGCAACTTTGTCCAAAAACTGGCCGAATTCCTCCACTATTTTTCTTCGAATTTTGTTTCTTTATCCCAACTCACTGCCTCAAATCCCTTCAACAATCCCTCCAAAAATTGATCAAATTCTTCAGAGGAATTTGAGTCGACTTTCTTTTCCGACAAATTTCTTCATTTTTTTTTCTTTTTGTGATTTGAACCACTTTTGAAATTTGTCATTCTTGCGAACTTTAGGACTTCAATCAACATAATGCAAACTTATTTCTTGTCCAAAATCCAACTATTACAAAAATAATCAAAATATGCAAGTAAAAAGGACAAAACTCTCATTTAAGCACTAAGTAGCATTTAAAATTCTAAGCAAAATAGACCAGTTTCTTCATATAATATTGAAAAAGTGATTAAAAATAATATAAAATGTCATTCAAATATAACACAAAATAATCACTTATCAAATTTCGCGTTAGAATTTTGACCTCAGTCAACAATAACAGCACTCTTGTACGTGTGTTTTAAGTAGTGTGACTTTTAAAGTTTTTGCAGCCATTGACTAAGCAAAATTTGATCGGGTTTTAGAGGAATTATCGGAGGGATTCGAGTGTGGGGAAATTTGATAAGTGACTAATTTACATTATATTTGAATGATATTTTATGTTATTTTTAGTCACTTTGGTTATATTATTGGAAGAAAATGAATCATTTTAGCTATAATTGGAAAAAAATATTTTTAAGTGATTAAATGAGGTTTTTATCACTTTTTACTTGCATTTTGTGCATTTTGACAGTTTTGACACATTTTAGTATTTCGGCTATAACTTGAGTTACAGTGATCGGATTGAAATGATTCTTGAACCAATTTGAAACTAAGAGACGTATCTAAATTTGGTATGAAGACATCAGAGTCCAATTTAGCCGTTTTCTCAATTAAAATGTCAAAATACCAAAGTTCAACACTGCTGTCCAAAGTTGAAAACAGAGCTCTGACCAGACTTTGGTATTTTGATCATATCTCGGTCTACAAATCTCCGATTTAGATGATTCTTGAAGCATTGGAAAGCTAATTCAAAGGGCTACAACTTTTGTGTTTTGTACAAAAGCCAGTTTGACATCTATCATAGAGAATATTGCAGTTGAAACGAGGTCAAAAGTGAATACGCGTATTGCAGCCGAAATTTTGCAATTTGCTCAGCCATTTCTCTTATGTTCATATTGCTTTCCAACTATATTTGGTAAGAGAATTTGGCTGCACATGCTTCTGATACATAAAGGAGAAAAATATGATTTATTGTCAAGTCAAAAACCATATTGTTTTTTACTTTCTTAATAAATTGAGATTTGAAAATCATTAGAGTGGAAGTTAGACCGGTAGAAAGGAGTTTTTCTCCGGTAGCGGCGCCAAAAACTTGACGGATTTTTGATATACGTACAAGTTAAAAAATTCAATTTATACCCGTTTTGACTGCAAGTATGCAGGTCAACTAGTAGTTTAGGGCATATATCGGGTCGATCCCACGAGAAAGATTGAACAATTACCGGCACTACTAAAATTTATCTATTATTTAGACTATAAATGAATTATAAGAAATGAAACCTACTGAACTTATGCAAATAACAAATGAAAGTTCCTAACTACTCATGCAAGTGTCATTTTTGGATCATTAATTACTACTATCTTGGCTAGCTATGGTGTAATTTCCTTATGCATATGAATCCTACTTTCGTAGTGAATTAATTATACTCATAACTGTTGACAGGCAACATGGGAAAGGGGTTTTCGAAGAAGTGTGGATGGGTGAGGAGCCCCCCGGACACCCCTCTGCAGGCCTCTTAAAGGCAGAACCAAAGAGAGTTGTGAGAGGGATGTAATTGACGAAAAAAGGCCTAGTAGATCTATTCCTGCTACTTTACTTACTTCCCTGGGAGAGGTTGATAAGAAGAAGCTGTTAAAGAATCAGCAGCTATTGAACCCCCATCTGTTGGAGGAAGGACTACAGGTAATCCATACCTCTCATGGTTATGAAATTAGCTACAAATTCATTTGTTCTGTGAAATTACATGAAATGAATCACTAAAACCACATAGGTGCACCTCTACTCGTGAGTGTACTCCCTAGGTTTAGCACTTCTTGAACCAGTGTTAAATCTCAATTTTCATTGCAGAAGAAACACCTTAGATAATCACAATCAATGGTAACAAATTAATCATGATTTAAGGAGCTAAAGTGCTAAATAACTTGCTCAATTAATAGCATCAAATAGCCAAATAATAAACACTAACAATCATAGAAAATTCAACCAAACCCAAGGCATAAACTTTAAAGACACATAATAAACACAAAATTCAGAACTTGTATATTAACTATACTTAAGAATCTGATACAAAAGATAAAGAATTGGAGAAGAGATAACCCATATCACTTGAGCTTCAAACTCCTCTTTCTTTATCTCCATCTTCATCCTAATCTAGCTAATATACAAGAATGGATGAACTATACTACTCTACACTAATGCTAACCTAACACTCAGAAGATGAAAGAGCTACATTTCTGCAGACTCCCCAGCTTCTTCCATATCTCCCGTTTGTTGCTCTGTATAAAAACTGATGAAAAGCTCCTTTCCACCACCAGTCTAACTTCCACTCTAATGCTTTTCAAATCTCAATTTGTTAAGAAAGTAAAAAACAATATTGTTTTTGACTTGACAATAAATCATATTTTTCTCATTTATGCATCAGAAGCATGTACAGCCAAATTCTCTTACCAAATATAGTTGAAAAACAATATGAACATAAGAGAAATGGCTGAACAAATTACAGAATTTTGGTTGCAATACGCGTATTCACTTTTGACCTCGCTTCAACCGCAATATTCTCTATGATGGAGGCCAAACTGGCTTTTGTGCAAAACACAAAAGTTGTAGCCCTTTGAATTAGCTTTCCAATGCTTCAAGAATCATCCAAATCGGAATTTTGTAGACCGAGATATGACCAAAATACAAAACCTGGTCAGAGCTCTGTTTTCAACTTTGGACAGCAGTGTTGAACTTTGGTATTTCGACCTTTTGACTGAGAAAACGACTAAATTGGACTCTGATGTCTTCATACCAAATTTAGACACGTCTCTTAGTTTCAAATTGGTTCAAGAATCATCTCAATCCGATCACTGTAATTCAAGTTATAGCCGAAATACAAAATGTGTCAAAGCTGTCAAAATGCACAAAATGCAAGTAAAAAGTGATAAAAACCTCATTTAATCACTTAAGAACATTTTTCCTCAATTATAGCCAAAATGATTTATTTTTCTTTCAATAATATAACCAAAGTGACTAAAAATAACATAAAATATCATTCAAATATAACGTAAATTAGTCACTTATCAGGGTGAAAAGGCAAAATTCAAAGACAAAATAGGGGAGAACTCTGGCCAAAGAATCGAGCAAGTTTTTGGAGGGATTACTAGAGGAATTCTGGTCAAAAGTTATAGTTTCAACTTGCGCAACTTGTTTTCACGTCCATTCTTTCAAATCTTCTAAGGAACTTTTGGCATCTTTTAAGGGACATTCGATAAAATCCGACCGATTTTTGGAGGTATTGTTAGAGGGATTCGAGGCAGTGAGATGAGATGAAAAAGCAAAATTCCAAGGAAAAAAACAAGGGAGGGATCCAACCAAAAAATTCAGCCAATTTTTGGAGGGATTACTGGAGGAATTCCAATCAAAAGTTGTGACTTCAACTTGTGGAACTTATTTTTACATCCATTCTTTCACATCTTCTGAGAAACATTTGGCATCTTATTTATAATTATAAAGGCAAGATCTAGTAATAATTCTTGACCTTATTCTTTAATAATAATGCTATTTAGCTTTGAAACCAAAATTGTTGACTGTTTGGAGCTATACTAACATGGAAATACAAGTGGCTTAAAAATTTCTCTATAAATAGAGATTGTATCATTCAATTTAGGAGAGCTTGAAGAGTGAAAGAAACGCTACACAAAATATAATTTTAAATATTTTCTTAGTACTTTAGTTTAGAATTGTATAGGATAGTTTAGAGTTATATAGCTAAACTTGGATAAAAATTGAGCAAAGATGAAGAGTTTAAATTTGATAAGAGTGATATCTCTCCAACCACTTTCTATCTTGTATTGGATGTCATGTTTAGTTATAATAAAAGTTTAGATTTTATCTTCAATATGTGTTTCTAAGGTTCCATGCGTTGAGTTTTGATTGAAGAAATTTCTATGATTATATTATATTGATGTCTCAGTTATTTGATGCTGTTATTTTGAATAAATTATTTAGCATTTTTGCTTATCTAATCACAATTAACTGACCATTAAGATGTTAGATTTACAATGAGAATATAAATTTAACACTAGTTCAAGAAAGTACTAAATCTATGTAGTACACTCGTGAAAATAGAGGTGCACTATTGTGATTTTTGTGACTTTTTCCATATAATTTCATAAAAGAAATAAATTTGTAGTTAATTTCATAACCATGAGATTGTATGTATTATAAGTATAATTAATTCACTACGAGAATAAGTTTTACATGTACAAGGAAATTACGCCATAACTAACCAAGGTAATAGTGCCTAATAATCAAAAAATCACACTAAATCACACCATATCACATTTTTGTGGTGTATTATACAACCATACCTTTGCTAAGCTTTCTCAACTATCTATTTATTTTTGTGCAATATAAGTTTATGCAATATATTGAGCCAAATTTTTAGATTTAAAGAGTAGATGAAACTAATAGTTCTTTTAATGAGTTGAATGTGATTTTACACTTGTTACCTTTGTTCATTTACTCGTAGGAGCATGCAAAATCGAAAAATTTCGATTTGTCAACCGAATTCAAATTGAATTTGAAATTTTGAATTCGATAATTCGGAATAAAAATCAAAATATCCGATTTCGAATTAGACAAAATCGGGTTAAATTCAGTAATGAAATTTTTCAAATCGAAAATTCTGATTTCGAATTCACAATTCGAAATTGAAATCGAAATCGAAATTCAAATTGAAATCGAAATCGAAATTCAGAATTCCTATTTCGATTTCTATATATATATGTAATATAACATTTATATTATAATAATAATTTTTATATTCTTGAATTTGGTGATTCGGAATTCCTATTTCGATCTCAAATAATAATAACATTTATATTATAATATTTTTTGATATATGTAATATAACATTTATATAATAATAATAATAATTTTTATATTCATGAATTCAGTGAAATCGAAATTTACCGAATTCCGAATTGAATTCGAAACGAATTTGAATTCAGAGTTGGTGAATTCTAAATCAAATTCGATCGAAAATTCTTATACCAAAATTTCGAAAAATTTCGATTTCAAAGTTTTGAATTACCAATTTCGATTCCGATTCATACCCCTTTTTACTCGTGCTTATTACTTCTTGTTGCTTCATCACCAATGACAAGCTTAGCTGTTATTACTTAATAATACTAATAGTTCTCGATGAATGTAACTTTCAAGTTTTTGCCACCGTTGACTAAGCAGAATTCGACGGTTTTAGAGGATTATCGCAAGGATTCAAGATAGTAAGTTGGGATGAGCAAGCAAAATTCGAAAACAAAATAGGAGAGGACTCCGGACAAAGAATCCAACCAGTTTTTGGAGGGGTTACTGGAGGAATTCCAGTCAAAATTTATAGTTTTAACTTGCACAACTTGTTTTCACATCCATTCTTTCATCTTTTGAAGAACGTTTGGCATCTTTTAAGGGACATTTGACTAAGCAAAATTCGACAGATTTTTGGAGGTATTGTCATAGGGATTTGAGGCAATGAGATGGCATGAAAAAACAAAATTCAAAGAAAAAAATAGGGAAGGAATCCGGCCAAAATATTCAGCTAGTTCTTCGAGGAATTATTGGAGAAATTCCAGTCAAAAGTCATGGCTTCAACCTGCACAACTTATTTTCACCTCCATTCTTTCACATCTTTTGAGGAATGTTTAGCATCTTATTTGCAATTGTAAAAATGAGAGATTCTAACAATAATTCTTGACCTTATTTCTTCAATAATAATGTGATTTAACTTTGAAACCAAAAATTGTTGACTATTTGGAGCTATGCTCACATAGAAGATACAAGTTAAAAGTTTGAAAATTTCTCCATAAATAGAGCTTGTACCATTCAACTTAGGAGAGCTTGAAGAGTGGAAAAAACACCACAAAAAATATAATTCTTAACCAGTTTTTTAGTACTTTAGTTTAGAGTTGTATAGGATAGCTTAGATTAGTTAGATTCATTATCTCTTGTGTATAGCTAAACGTGGATAAAAATTGAGAAGCAAATATGAAGAGTTTAAATTCATGTAACAAGGGTGATATCTTTCCAACCACTTTCTATCTTGTATTGGATGTCATGATTAGTTTATAATACAAGATTAGATTTTATCTTCAATATGTGTTTCTAAAGTTTCATGCCTTGAGTTTTGATTGAAATTTCTATAATTGTCTTATATTGATTTCTCGATTATTTGATGCTATTATTTTCAACAAGTTATTTAGCATTTTTGTTTATCTAATCATAATTAACTAACCATTGATTGTAATAATCTTAAAATGTTAAATTTGCAATCAGAATATGAATTTAACACTAATTCAATGTTAAACCTACAGAATACACTCACGAAAGTAGATGTGCACTATTGTGGCTTTTGTTAACTTGTTTCATGTAATTTTAAAAAAGAAATAAAGTTGTAACTAATTTCATAATCATAAGAATAGGTATGGATTAATCACTACGGGAGTAGGTTTCATATATATGAAAAAATTACGCCGTAACTAACCAAAGTAATAGTGCTTAATGATTCAAAAATCACACTAAAACACACAATATCACCTTTGCTAAGCTTTCCCAACTATCTCTTTTTTTTGTGCAATATTTTACGCAATAAATCTTGGTGCTCATTGTCTTATCTAATATGTTGAGCCAAACTTTTAGATCTAGAGAGTAGATGAAACTAATGGTTCATTGAATATAAGTTGAATGTGATTTACACTTGTGACCTCTTTTAAGTTGTTCATTAATCATGCTTATTAGTTGCTTCATCACCAATGACAAGCTATTAGTTATTATTACTTAATAATAATAAGGGACAGAATGGAACTTAAAAAGTAAACTTTTATGAGAGTAGAGGTACAACTTAAGCAGATTTTCTTGAATATTTCATGTAGTAAATAAACTAGATTTAAATCTCCACCACGACAATAGGAAAGACTAGAGTGATTAATATCATTACATCATGAGAATGAGTTTCGATTAATGTTGCAAATGAATCCCCAATCAGATGAGTAATAATAACAAAAGGTAAATTCATTCACTTGTTTTTTGAACCATTAGTGGATTCTACACCCTATGACCTTAATTTATTTTCTCCATTTATCTTTCTTTACAAGTCAGTAGTTTGAATTAGTAAATTAATTGCTTGTTAATACTTTTAATTGATATTAGTCTAGATAATAGCAATGTTTTGAAACTTGGCCCCTTAATTAAGCCGACAAGATGTTCATATTACTGTTCAAGCAATCAGACCGGTTCAATCCTGATTTAATGAATTTTTATAAATAAATTATATAAATATATATGCACAGAATAAGATATTCGATGGACTAATTTAAGATTTTATCTTATAAAAAATTTAATATTTTCAAAGAACTTGGACTTTCATAAATAAATTTTTTAAATTATGAACAAATAAATTTCATCTCAATTGTATCTACAAATAAATTGTATCTACCAAAGTAATCTTAAATCCTATCCAAGAATGCTGCAATTTTCTAAAATTAAACAAAATTCATGTCTTTAGGAATTAGACATTGTGAATTTAAACTTTAAACTATGGTTTTGAGAATTAAAGATTGCAACTTTGTTTAAAAATAAAACTTAGAACTTGGATGAAATCAGGAAGCTAGAAAGTTTATGAAAACTTGATAAAGAGTGAATGTGGCACCTAGTGACTAGTCTTTGGAGTTAATAAGAACCTATATTTTTTAGTTTAATAGACGAAAACAAAAAAACACCAGTTCAATTGTTCATTTCGATTCAAATGGTTCGCACGGTTCTTCGCATAACACTGGTTCTTAAATCCAATCAACCCAAAGTATGAATCGGA